AAAATGACAAACAAAGTTTTGTGCTATCAAATATTGTGCAGAATACAGAAATCCAAAAAAGAGGGGGAAAATGCAAGCTGGTAACTTGTGAAATAAACTGGGGTTATGTGAACAAACGAAGCCTCCTAAGGACTTGCATATTCGTTTTATGGCGTAAATTTGAGTTTTAAAAAGCTTTTTTAGTAAGCTTGCTCCAATGGAGAAGTTGAGCTGTCACGTGCAGACATATGCTTGGGGTAAGAAAGGTCTGGCCAGCGAAGTGGCTCGATTGTACGCTGCTGGACATCAGGATGCGCACATCGATGACACCATCTCCTATGCTGAGGTATACTACATTTTCTACCCCAACTGACAGTTGGCTGTACCCGTTGTCGACGGTGGCTCGGGAACTGGGAGGGAAGCAAGCAGTATCTCTACTTTCAGAACCATCTGTCGCTTTTGCGAGTGGTAAAAGCCTTCTTCGTATTTCATTCCTTGTGAGAGGCGAAAGTTTATCCGGAAGTGACCAGGTGTGATGGGATTTTACAAACAGCAGTTACGCGATTGTCCCGTGTTTGAAAGGCTGCCTGAAAGGCAAGCTTGTGATCGACTGATCCTCTAGGTGTGCCCAAAACACAAAAGGGAGTCCTGGCAATGTTATTAGTCTTCCAGTGGCTGTCAATACCAGTGACTCTGTGCACCCATTTAGTATTTTATCAAGGCTCTCAGCGATTTGTTTTTCATATTGTGAAATGACGGAGAGGTGTTACTGCAAAAAAAGCACTTTTCAGTCGGCCAGAGTATTTGCAGTCAAAGTACTAGATCTTAAGTTTACACGGGGCAGCCCTCATTTCAGGATTTCTGACAGAGCTAATTAAAGAAGAAAAAGAACGGTATTGCACCGCATTTCATTTTACAAACGTCTGCAAAATTTGAAAGTTTAAATAATACCTTTCATTACTGTTGAGTGTGTGAAACTTGAAATGTGTATTAAGGGCGGAACATAAAAATATGTGCGAACTCGGGCGGCACATTCAAATTTCAGCTATGGATGGGGACACATCCGGATGGAGCAAGCCGCTTGCAACGGTCTCAGAAGAAACTTAGCCAACACATCGCGGAA